TCATTTAGATTTTAAATTCTTGCTTAAACAAATGTTTATCCAAACGTGCCATCTCAATGATGAGCGTTTCTGCTGTCTGGGGACAGCTCCATGTTTGCTACCTAGAGCCTCTTAAACCCACTTTAAAACATAGGGAGGTTTTGTCTCTTTGTTTTTTTATTTGTTTTTCCCTTAACTCCAGCACTGCTGATTGGAAAGGTTTCAGAATTTGGCAAATATCCAGAAATCAGCAAACATCCTTTCTTCATGCTAATTTGTAAAGCTGAAGTGGGTGCTGACTCCAGCAATACTGGAACAAGAGGCTCTGTAAAGCACAGCTTTTCCCAGGGGCTCGAGCCCCCTTGTGCTGTGGCAAACCTGATGCTTCAGTATCATTTGCAAGGCCCACCATGAGTAGCACAGAGGCTGTGGGGTTTGGCACGGAGCTTCCTCTGCCCATCCTTGGCCTCGACTCCCCACTTTTGAGATCCTTATTGCTATCACTGTAAACAGTAAGTGAGGGATGAGGGGGACTTTAAAAAGGAGCTGTATCCTGTCCTTCAGGCAGAACAGACTTGTCTCAGTCACAAGCTGCAATCAGAAGCACACAACTATTCCTCAAGTGACTTTAACCTTCTCTGGATTTTGCCAGCAGTCACCTCAGATTTCATTTTGTTTCACTAAGTGCACTGGATGTTTCTCTGGTCAAGACCCATATTCCTGCTTTTCAGAACTGAAGCAACGTGGTAAAATACTGCTAACCCAGACTTTGAACCTGCACTGCTTGAAAACAATGCTTTCCACACACAAGAGAGAGAGGAAAACAAAAACAAAAACCAAAATGGGAATCTTAAGAGAGTGACACTGTAAATTGAAACATTTAAATACAGCAAAACATAAATTCCTCTTCTATGCAAAGCTACAAAAGTCCAGTCTTTGTATTGTCTTCACAGGTTATGGTTTATGGCTATGCTGAGTCTCTGAGATTCCTTTTTTCTTTTTTTTTTCTTTTTTTTTTAATATATTTTTTTCATTTTTTTGAAATCCTGTAGAGAAGACCCTGCGGACACATCTTTGTGTTTGCAACTTTCTGAATTACATTGCAAAACTGTGCATACAGAATCTGAGAAATAAATACATTCATTACTGCACATACATATTGATACAAAAACAACACTGTCAAATAGTGTTTGCACCATCTTTGTTAGATATTAAGACCAGGCAAAATTAATATTTCATTTTCCATCAGCCCCCCCTCAAATGCTTGAGGTGGCTTTGGTGTAGAAGGTAAAAGCTACAAAGGGTCAAGACTAATGATGGGGAGCCTTCTTAAACCTTTTTATTTTTGGCTTCAGCGGTATTTTAGCAAACCATCCTCATTGGTCATCTTTAAACTGTTCTACCATGCAGATCGGTTTAGGTTTCCACCTGGGCAGCTTTAGGAGTTTTGGTTGGGCTCTACGTGCAGGACTGTAAGGTCTGCAGTGAATCAATCCAGCGCTTTCATTAAGGGGCTCCGAGGGCCCGGAGAGCCCAGCCCGCCCGGGGGAGGCCGCTCGGTGCCCCCGGGCTGGGCCGGGAGCGGGCTGGGCTCTGCCGCGGCAGCGGCCGCAAAGCCTCACAGAAGCTGAGTGTCAATAGCTCTTTGGTGTCTTCTGTGACCTTTGTGGCTCCTGCTAACACCCCCAGCACGGAGCTGGGCCTTTGGGGCTTTTTTTGCCAGGAATTTCTTTTTGGAGGTTTTGCAGTAAAGGACTGGAAAACAGCCCAGCTCCCCATGGTTGAAGTTATGGAGATGTGCTGGGTACAGCAGCTCCCAACATCTTCTAACACCCTTTTTTATCTCTAGAGCTTCTTGCATCTCCCTTTGTCCTCTTGATTCCCTCAGACTCCTCTGAGGAAGAGGTAGGCTGGAATGCCTCTACAATAGTGCCTGGGTCTCACTGCCAGCAACATCTCTCATGGATTGAAAAAAAAAAAAATTCTACATGCCATATTTGTAATTGCCCACCCTCTCCCCACCCTCCCCGAGCAGTGCTGGAATGCAGGCTGGGACACAGATCCCCCTCCCAAGCTGGGGAACATTGCGTAGCCTTCAGAGACAAACCAATGGAAAAAGCAAAGATTAATTTTGACTGGCCCCTAGATCTGTTGAGGTCTGAAACTGTAAAAGTTTATGTAAACAATGAGATAAATATATTAGTACTTTTCTGAGCCAAGTGAGGTTCCATACTCATTCAAATGTGCTTTGGTTTAAAAAATAGTTTTGTGAATTTGGGTATGAGCTTCTTTATTCTTTTATACAACTTTTGCTATTTTATCTTTTTTTTTCCTGTTATTCCGAAAACATTCTGGAACTAAGTGACTAAAGTATATACTTAAGCTGCCTGGCCTCTTTTTTTTCTTTTTTTTTTCTTTTTTTTTTTTCTTTTTTTTTGTTTCCTTTAAAGTTGTTTTATTCCTCTTGAGGCTCTTTGTGTATTTAAAAAAAAAATCAAAATAAAAAAAAAACAAAAACAAAAATGCAACTCCCTCCCCCCCACCCTAAAACTCTTAAAATCTTAAATATGAAACTAGTGTTTTGCTTTCTCATTAAAATACAGAAAAATGTTGATACAATACTATGTCGTACAAATGCAGTTGAGTGTTTAGGCCCCAAGCAGGCCTCAAACAGTCCCTGAAGTTTTGAGTATTATTAGTTATTCATTATTACTGTCACAATTTGGAAAATGTCGTTTATACTCAATCTATGGAACACAACTTTACACAGCTATTTGAAAAAAGAACATAATTTCCTTTTGTACAATACTCTTGCTGTACACAGACTTTATGTCGTACTGTTTAAGTGCTGGGGAGGGGATTAAAAAAAAAAAAAAAAAAAGATGCTCCAAAAAATAGCTTTTAAAAAATAGCATTGGGTCCTGAAAGTTCAACGTAATTCTCAAGGCTTAAGAAACAAATGAAGATGGGGCCTGGGGCAGGGGGAGAAGCTACATCACCCACACACACGTAAAAATGGAATTAAGAGAGGGGGAGCAGGGGTTTGCCTGCCGAGGAGCTCCGTGCCGGTGCTGCTCCCCCGAGAGCCGCTGGCCCAAGGTGGCTCCAGCCTGCCGTCCCCAGCGGCACGCAGGGCCACAGCCGCACCCCAGCCCGGCCGCAGCCCTCGCTAAGGGACCTAAAGCCTGCTCTGGAAGGGCTCCTTGGCCGGCCGGCTCCGCCCTGGGTGGCTGGAGGGGAGGCAAAGGCGGGGTGAAAGTGCCGAGGAACTCACTCATCTTGCACAGCTGTCCCTGGGTTCTGCTCAGAGTCGCTCTGAGCACAAGGTAGATGGCACGGCCTTCCCTATCCTCCCCAAAGACTATTCTGGGGACGTTCTCAGGGTGGGGGTTAACAAGGAATCAAGGAGAAAACAATTCAATATATATTCAAAAATATGGAAGTGCTAAAGACGCTAAAAGCCCACTTAACCCCCGAAAACAGCGCGTCTCAGCACAATCAGACAAAACCAAAATTCATGCACCCCTCCCGCGCTCCGGGGCTCGCAGGCGTCCGGGAGCAAGCGGACAATGGCACTGGGAGAAGCACACGGGAGCGGCTGGAGAGGGGCGAGTGTTCCCTGTAACGTGACACCAGGCCGAGGCTCAGCGCCTTTGGGTTGTCTATTGCTTGGAGCCTGGATTCCAGTTTCCTCAATCATTCAATTGACCCAAAAACTTCTCATGGACTAGACTACCTTCAAAACAAAAAAAAAACCAACAAAACAAAACAAAAGGAAAAAAAAACCCCAACAGAAAATGAAGCTTATATTTCTTTGTTTTAGTCAAACATGCTCACTTTTTTCTTTTTTTTAAATTTTTTGGTCAAAACTTTTAAAAATTGTTTGTTTTGTTTTGTTTTTTTTAAAAAAAAAGACAAAACGTGAGGTTTGGTAAAACTTACGCATAGAGACTATACTGGTTTGAGTGAAAAAAAAAAACGAAACACCAAAAACCAACAAATGAAAAAATGCAAGTGTAAACCTTAGTCATTTCAGAAGGGATGATTCTACTGGCTGTGAATTTTTACCACCACAGTCACGGGAGGCTTGAAATAAGCCATAGCTTTCCACAAGGTCACGCCAACAAAGTCAAGGGGGCCAAGAATTGGTGGGCAAAGTTCTCTCTCTGTCTTCTCTCCTAAACCAATAGCAGCTGTTGGCTGTGATATCTTAGGCAGATGTTGCAAGAACATTTTGTTTCTTTTTCTTTTCATTTTTTCTTTCTTTTTTTTTTTCTTGTGTGCGTGTGTTAAATTGTCTAAAAGGGAGGATATGAAACACTTTGGTTTGCTTTCTCCTCCTCTCCCCCACCTTATTGCACTCTGGATTCTAGTAAATTATAGGCTGCTATGCCCTCACCCTCTGTCCTGCCAGGTGTTTACAGACTGACCCAGATGTGCTGGGGGAGTGGAAGATGAGGGGGACATTTTCCCCTCCCCATAGTATCCAGACTCAATAAACAAAGCTGGAAAGGGCCCAAAAAGCTCAGAGAAGTTTTCTGCTTTTATCTAAAAGTGACTACAGACAGCCAAGAGACTGCGAATTGAGCCAGTCCAAGCAGCCAGCACAGCCTCTAGCTCAGTGTATTTTTTGCTTTGTCTTTGGCCAAGCTTTGCTTTAACATTTCTCTAGTTGACTTTTGATGGAAGGACGGGGTGGTAAAAATCCCTTAACTTTAATTTAGCTTCTACTTTTATACATTTAATTACTTACAATAAAAGAAAAAATGCCTAATCTTTCACTAACCATCTTATTGTTCTCATGAATTCAAGAGGTAGCAAAGGTAACAAGTCTGTCCACACAGACTTGCTCTTTAGTGAGGGAGGAAAGCTAAAAACATACACACACACAAAAAAATAAAATAAAAAAATAATAAAAAAGTACCTATGGAACTTGTAGCAAGTCCAGCCTACATCAAACCCCTTCCCCACCCACCCACCCTAGAATTAACCTCAGACCTTCCAGTTCAAACATTCACATAAACGTTACAATGGTTTTTCCTTTAATAAAACAAGTACCTCTAAGCAAAGAATATTCATACGAAACTACTAGAAAAGTAAAGACGACCCCCTGCTCACTGAAAGAAATTCCCAGGGCTTCCAGTCCCTGTTCAGTCATGGGTAAGGCAAAAGAGGTTTGCGTGTTTTATGGGAGAAGGTGGCACATAGTTACATGTGCCAAGGACAAAGATCAAAACCAAACTGGGGAGGGATGGTAAGGGAGGCTTCGCCATTTCTTTAAGTGAAGTACTGGTGTTGGTGGAGCCCTGGGAGCTGCTCCCCCCACCATTGCCAGCCCAGGGGATGGGGGTGGGCTCCACCACTGCTGTGGCTTTCCCACAGTCTCTGGAGGGGCTGCCAACCCTGTGAGATGGTCCACAGACACAGCTTCTGCACTTGAGAATGCTGTTATTTCACAGCTACTAGGCCACTGAAAAGGTGTACTTTGTTTTCTTTTAATGGCAAGAAATACCCCTACTGAGTTTGGTTTTAAGAAAGGAGGTGAGTACAGTGAGAACAGAATGAGGCAGGGGGGAGAGGAGGAGGGAGCCAGCAGAGGCTGAAAGTTCCCCAAGGTCTCCCTACCTGCTCCAGATAAGCAATATGGCAATGCAGTCGATGGGTGCAAAAAGAAGAGGCATTTCTTGCCAGGTCATCAGAATTTGAAGGGAGACTGGGACTAAATGCATCAGCTTGGCTGTGGACCTTTCTTTTTTTTAAAAAAAGGAAAAAAAAGGAACTTTTTTTTTAAATGTTAAAGCTACATTTGTTTAGGCCTCTCATGACTGAACAGAGTATGGGGAGTTGCCCCCTTTTTTGTTTTATTTTTTTTCTTTTTTCTTTTTTTTTTAAGCAGCAAGTCTACAGAAAGGTAAATCACTGCGGATGGGCTTGAAGCTCATTCTGGAGTCTTTGGCTTATGTGGGAGAGGTATGCATTCGCAGGTGGCTGATCAGATTGCGCTGCTGGGTGAATTTCCCACCACACAGTTGACATTCGTAAGGTTTTTCTCCTGAGTGGACACGCATATGCTCTGTTAGTCGGTACTGCCGGGTAAAGCGCATCCCACATTCCTCGCAAGCAAAGGGCTTGAGCCCCAAGTGGCTGCGCATGTGCCGTGTCATGGTGCCCCGCTGCGTGAACATCTTGCCACAGATGTTGCAAGGGAAGGGCCGCGTCAGCCAGTGAGTCTTCTCGTGCTGCCGCAGCGTGGCTGGATCCTTGTAGCTCTTCTCACACACTGAACACTTGAAGGGCCGGGACTCTGCAGCGTAGGACTGATTGGGGTTGGACAAATCCTCAGCTTCATCCTTGCTGCCGTATGTGCCTTCCTCCTTGATGTAAAGGTCTTCCTCGGTGTGCGTTTCCACATGGGCATTGAGCTGCTCGGAGCTCGGGAAGCCTTTGCCACAGGGGATACAGACATACAGGTTGTCACCGTAGGCCACTGGCTCAAACCCCTCCTGCCGGTAGACATAGTTGGCACTGGTATGGCCGCCGCTCTCACTCTCACTCTGGCCGCTGTCATCACTGTTCTCCTTACCGTTTTCTACCTCCTCCTTACATGGGTAGGGCAGGTCTGCCCCGTAGGCCCCGGCCAGACTCCTCTCCACAGACTTGGACAAGGGCCCCAGCAGGATACCATTGGGCAGCCCTTCACCCTCGTCCCTCTCTTTGCCCCCTTCCTTTCGGTCAAAGGCGTTGTCTTTCTTGATCCACTCCTTCTTGCGGGACGAGTGCCGGAGGCCCTTGCGCTGGCTGCTCTCTGTCAGTGAGTGGTGGCACTCCTCGCTCAGATCCATTTCCATGGGGTCGCTGCTGTCTGCCATGCTGTGGGGGGCTCCGACACCAGACTCGTCGAACAATGAGGCACTGTTGGCTGCAGGGGCTGAGGCAGATTGGGGAGAGCCGTGCTGGCTTTCGCTGTGCTGCGTGTCATCCTGGGAGGCTGCGACAGGGAGCGAGGGGCTTTTTTTGGACAAGTCGAGGCCTAGCTCCTGGTCACCAGTGCTCCCATTCGCACTGCTGCTCCCACCGCCATTCTTGCTGGTTCCCCTGCTTAAGGAGTGACAGTTCTCTTGGTTGGAGCTGCTGATGAAGACCTCGTCATCAGAGAGCTTTCCCTTTGACAGCTCCTTTGAGTGCGAGCCCTTCAACCCCTCATTTGACCCTGAATAGCGAGCTTGGATGACTGAAGCAGTGGAAAGTCTCTGACTCCTGGCAGATCTCCCAACACCAAGGCCACCGGCCTTGCCAGCGAAGGACTTGCTGTTCCGCTTCAGCTTCTTTCTGCAGAGAGCTGCCAGGTCGTGCAGTTGGAGGTAGCTTGCTGCGGTGAGGAGAGCATTAAAGTTCTGTTCACCAGGCTGGTCAGTCGTTAAGAGCTTACCAGTATAAATAAAGTCCAAGATCTGCCGGAACACGGTTGGGTTCACCATGTCGGTGTCTAAGTTTATCAGGTTGTCATGCAGAACAAGGGATTTGAAATACATGCTGCTGGCTGCCAGGATGTTCTTATGGGCACGAAACAGGGCATTTTCTACCACAATGATCACATCACAGAGGAAACCTTTGGCTCGTTGCTGGTTCAGCTGCAGTAGCAGTTGTTTGGCATGATTTGGCAGTTCCATCTCCACCTTCTCTTCCTCTCACCTTCACCTTACCACCTGCAAAACAGGACAATGAGAGGTGTGAGCTTGCTGTCTCCACTAGAACAGGTTACATTTAATAGACTGCTTTAACACAGTGCAGTCTATGTAAGGCTTGACACTGTCTAGGGAGATCTGAGTACATTGAGCCCTGCAAGATGTGACCCTGCTGGGAATACAGAGAGAAATATTTCTCATGCTAAGACTTGATTCAAATCTTTCAAAAATCAGATTTGTAATTATCTTTTTACAGAAGCAGTAGTCATTGGCTGGAATCACTATTCAAAAGATACCAAGATAAAAACAATAGTCAGGTACAGGGGAAAGTGTTCTCTCCTGACACAGACTTGAAGGGAGGATGAGAAGCAAGAAAAAGAGGAAGAAAAGAGAAGCATCTACTTCACTGTCATTTGCATATCTGAGCATGTAAAATAATTAGCATAAGCTGCAGTTTCCCTGCTTTAATGTGTAGTTTGTTTCTTGGCTGTTACACATTGAAATCTTATAACACCCAGCTGCTCTAGGGTTGAGAAAATGACATGTAGCAACTAAATCCATTGAAGATGGAATTACCCACACTGAGGTGTGAATGGGAAGTCTCCTTAAGAGTATAAAAAGCTGCTTTAAAAACCACTCCCCTGCCAATGTCCATATCCCAATCCATTGACATGTAGGGTTAGAATCAACCCTCAACTGGCTGAAATTCAGGATGCTGAGCTAGCTAAATGGCACCAAATGTCTTCAAAAATCTGAAACATTTTTCTCAAGTTAATTTTGTTCTGTCTTCAATTTTGAAATAATTTTGTTTAAAATAATAGAGGCAAGTAACATCTCTCAAATCACAGCTTCCTATCTTGAAATACTGTAAAGAGAGGAAAATTGTGATTACCTGCATTTCACAAACAGTAGTCATGATGTATTTTAGTTTAGATGCTTATATTGGCCTTCCCAGTAGTATGAACTGTAGGAAACACCTAGTTTGAGATATGTCAGAACTAACTGCAGTTGCATGTTTGGTAGATATTACAATCCATGAAACCCAGAATTCAATCTGGGGGCTGCATTTGGGAATCCAAGATAAATTCTAATTTTTTTTCCTTGTTGGGTTTCTTTTTGTGTGTTTGTTCATTTGAAAATGCCAACTATTATTCGCATTTATCTGTTAAAGTTGATTTTAAATAGTTTCTGAGGTTCAGAAGTAGGAATTAAATACAAAATTTAACACAACCACCATTTAGCCCTCTACTTCCTTTCTTCCTTTCCCAGTTCATCATATTATTGAAACATCTCTCTAATTGAAGGAGAAGCAAGCCGTAAATACAGAGAAATTAACAGCTTAAGTTTTCTCTTAAAATCATCATCAGTTAATTGTTTTGTAGTTTGTGAGTTCCACTACCACACTTTTTCCCATCACAGTTCAAGTGATGAAGCATTAGACTGCCTTATGTTCCCTCCAGGCCAAGTATAGGTACACAACAAAAAGAAATAAGGACTGATGCTGTTAGTATAAAAAAAATTGCTTCCCTTAAACCTGATTCTCACTATCTGATGATAAATAGAAAGATTTAATTTGGCAGAAAGGTGGTAAATTTATATCATCCATTTCTGCACAACAGGGAAGTTTTGCTTTATGAAAAAAAGCTACCAAAAAGTAAACAAATGCAGTATTTCCTTCAGCGTTGTTGCTTGACTACCCTGGTACTTTTCCCAGCAGATCTGCTGAGCAGGTGCCTCCCTTCTTCCACAGGACACAGCTCTTCCCTTGTTTTGCTGGTCAGCCTGGTGCTTGCTTATGCTTTTGGTAGAAGTGCAGCAGCATCTGATTTAGCATCCACACAGATCCCTCTGGCTCACCACCTTGACCCAGAGCTAAAAAGGCTGCTCTGCTTTTCTGTTTGATTTTGTTTCAGCAGGGGATGGTAATCCAAGAAGACGGTGGATTCACCGCAGTGCCTTTGTGCACATGAATGTTGTTTTCCAGAGCTCGATGGCTTTAGAAAGGGTGGCAGCCAAAAGAAGGAAGGACAGGCTTGCCATGGTGCTAGTTCCACCTACAGTGTTTCTGTAATAGAAACTCACCCTGCAGAATCTGAAAAATGTGACAGGACAGGGGCTACCTCCACTGAGCAGTGCTGAGCACTTTAAAACCAAGTTTTGATGCAGTTAGTCACATCAGAGTTGCAGCACTGTCTGGTTCTAGTGGCTTGCTTCCAGAATTGCCGATTACGGGGAAGAAGCAGCAGCACAGAGGCACAAAATACCCACTTTTATCTAGCCAGGCCAGTAAGGCCTTACTTCTGTGTCACTGAGATACATTGATAGGGGGGGACAAAAACATGGCTTGCAACTTAACAGCATCTCTCTATATAAATGCATCCTCCTCAAGATAGCAAGAAACAGCCTAGTACTACAATTTCACTACAAACATAATGGTGCTTTTCCATGCATGTAACACACAAAATCCCTGGGTATAATTTTTAAGTGTTCCATAAAGGACAAATATGTGAAAGGAAGGGAAACAGTACGGCCAATATTTTCTGCCTAAACAAAGTAGTACTAGTAGTAGTAAAAATAATAAGATGGTACTGAAGTAAAAGTGGGCTTATTTCCCATTGATGTGGCACTTAAAGCTGAGGTATAGAAATCGTTGCATGCAAGTTGTCTAAGCCTTAAGGCTTAGAAAGCTATCAATGCAGAATAGTTTTAGCATTTTACTTTTTTTTGGTTTACTTTTTTTTTTTCTTTTTGTCTTAAATGATATTGAAACCAGGTAATGAGCCTGCAGAGAAAGCCCTGGAAACAGAGTAAGAATTCTAATTCTGCTACTGACCTTCATGAGAAAGATAATATTATTAAACTTCAGTATGTTCTGCAGCATAAAAACTAGCATAGTACAAGTTGTTTACATTACCTCTATTTATCTCACATGTCAGATTTTACAGAACTGTTCATGTTCAGTAGGACATATGTATAAGGTAGGCTATTATCTTCAGTAGATTTTAAAAGCAGTGGTCAAGTGTAAGCAGTATCACCCTGCCTATCAAATTTGAATTTGTTAGCTGAAGTCTAACGTGGATTTAACAACCCCCCAAAAAATGAATGTAATGAATCAAGGCAGAAGAACCTACAACCAATCTTAGAGCACTGTGTTTAAAATGTTGTTAGAATTGCCCACCAAGGGCTTTGACCAGGACAGGAGTATGGCTCAGAGAACACTCCTTTGGCTGACATCCCTTTGTCAACAAAAACCTTATAGCAACCTGCCTTGTGTATCTTGTGAGGTCCTCAACAAAAATGAATCCAGTCCAGGTATCTTCCAGAGGTGGACAGTTACAAACCCTTCTTTCACAATGATGCATTTCAGAGGTGGAGGAAGAAAAGTGTGTTGGAAAGGTTGTTAGCAAAAGAGAAGCAGGCATTATTCCTTAACTTACAGCATTCCTAGAATCTCACTTCTAGCTGAAAGCATGGGACCAAGGACAACTGTGAGTTTAAATCCTGTTTAAAAGTTATCTGCCCAAAGAAATGGCAGGTGCAGCCTTAGAAAGGCCTTGCTATCCATTGGTTTGCAGAGAGTGTCTCTTAACAAACCATAACATTTGAATAACATCACCACAATCCCCCAAAGCCCTAAAAAATGACAGTGGGTTTATACTTCTTGTATTTCAGTATCATTTTTAATAACCCTTCCCTTTTTGTTTTCTGAAAAAAAACCCAGAAAAAAACATACTCCCAGTTCAGAGGAGCCCTGGTTTAGAAAAGGCTCAGATGCGTTTCTAGTGAAAACCCAACCCCAAGACCTCAAGAATACATAGATGTCTCACTGGGGCCACAGTCTTTAAACATTGAATGTGGTGTGCAAAAGTTCACACCTTTGCATTTAAAAGAGGATTACAGAAGGCTCTGGACAAATAGCAGCAGTGATGGTCTTTTCCCAGATTCAGGTTGATTACCTCACATTCAAGACATTTTTTTCAGTGAGCAGTGAATCTGCTCAAATACTCCCATGCAAGGAGGGAATGAAACAAGACTAAGGCTCTTCACTACCTCCACCATATTCATGACAGAGACACAGCACATGCAAAGACACGAGAAGTACAGGGCACAAATCACAGAATACAGTAATGCTGCAAGCAGATGCCACACATCAAACAAAGCTTTGCAAGCTAAGAGCCGACAGCATCTTAATAAGCAATATTGCCCCAGGAGCTGGGTAATAGCGAGCTGCTGTGCCCAGCCTGGGACACCCTGTGACCCCATGGGCAGCAAGGCTGTGCACAACACACAGGCTGCTCCTGGAGCTGTGCTGCTCTCACTACACAGCAGGAAAAACTTCATTTGCTCTCAGTTTGCACAAAGACTCTGGACATCACAGAAAATGAAATTGTTAAACAGAGGAGAAGATAAATCCCCTCACCCCTTTCAACAGTATAAAATCTACATATTCACTACAGGTTTGATTCTCTTTAATATCACTAAATCTCTTCTTAAAAGTAATTACTGAATGAATGCTAAATGTGTTATCTTAGCAACCTCTGGCAGGAGATGCTGTTTGATTTAATCTTTGAGTTATAGATTGCAGCACATGAATATTGTTTACCTTTTAAGAAGCAACACCAGTGAAGCAAAGAATCAATCAAAAACAGATCTAAGGAATCACTCATTTCACGTAGAGGATTTGTGGCTGGATGAGAAGGCTAGACACCGAGCACCTGAACAGTGAGCTAACAGTACTGCAGATAAAAACCAACAAACAGATTAGATGTGATGTATCAAATTAGATGCTGTTAAAACGTCAGCCTACTGTGCATGTTATAATAGACCCAGGAAAAGACAGTGGCCTGCTTACTTATTTCTCCACCTTCCCAAGCAGTTAAGCTGCACTGAGCAGACACTGCAGCAGCGAGCATGGAGAAAAACAAGACAAAATGAAACCCACTGTTTCCTACATTGCTCTCTCCCACCAATTTATGACATTAAAAATGCTGCATCCAGCTGCTACTGGAATTGAGTGAAACTGGAACAGATGACTTCTGCGCCCTTCAGTTTCAGATGAACCAACTTGTTTGAGCACTTAATGACCCCCACTGGGAAGAGAGCTTTCCTGTTCCTCACTGGCTCATCTGATCTTTCCTCACATCCAAACAGAACCAGGACCCTCAGAGGTGTCAGTGTAGTGGGTGGTTCAGGGCCACCAACTGCCCCCAGCAGCTGCACTTGGCAGATCATTAGCCCATGACTTTTAGAGGTATTCACATTCTAGAACAGCAGAAGCATGGGAAGAAGTGCTGGAACTGTGTTAGTCCAAATAGTTCCCTATCCCCAGCCCCTGTGAGCAGTCAAACAGCAGAATTCGGAAGCAGAGGCACAAACATGCATTTTCATCATTGGCAGTGGAGCAGCAAAAGCTCTGTGAAGAAGGCTCAAGCAGAAAACAGGATGCAGCACCCTTGTTTTTCTCACACAAATATTTAGCACTTTAAAATAGCTAAGACCAACATGTGAAGTTACTCGGGCAGAGGTCTGCAGAGCTGGGGGAGGGAGAGAAAGCATGCAGGACAGAGCAGGATGTGCAGCTGATTTTGCAGGTGTGCGTGTGGAAAAGAGAAGGAAAATGGAGGATGGAGGATAATTTCGCAGATACCATATCAGCAAACTGAAAGTTGCCCTTGTTTAGTTTGTTACATTCCAATTAGTGCCAGGCAGAACTGCCCTCCCGGCTCCCTGAGGCAGCTCTTGCAGGACTCCCGCAGAAACGGCACAGCTTTGCTTAAGGACATAAGCACCTGTCTGGTACCTCTGTGCGGCAACGTTTGGATATTTGGGACGTGGGCAATACCTGCTCAACTGCTACCAGCTCCTGGCCCAAAAAGGAGAGAAAAAAATAGTAAGATGATTTCCCAGTCCCTTCTCTCATGTTCTAGAATAAAAAGGAGAGCCTGACAATGCTAGGCCCTTCTCTACTGCATGGCAAACTTCCCAGGGAAGGGGAATCTCCATGGGTGAAAAGGGTGGGGGCCCTGTGTGCATGAAAGCACTAAAATCAGGAGAGCAAAGTGATTTCCAGTCAGTGCAAGGCTGCAGCAAAGCAGGAACACCTTGCTATACAAGCTGAAACTATGAGCAGTAGAATGCAGATTAACCACTTGTTTGCCGCTTACCATGCCAGGTACATTGGGCTAAAGGCACCTCCATCCAGTGCTGCCCGACGTGCCAGGTACATCCCATGATGTTCCATTGAAATCACAACAGGCCATCAATAGAACGTGGCTGCACGGATGCAGAATGGAGAACCAGCAGGGACGCTGTTAAATGCAATTAAAATACTGCAATCAAAATTGAAACGTACATTTTAAAACAGCCACCTGCCTTAAATATGTAACTGCTAGAACAACCTCCCCTCCACCCATCTCCCCACAGCTGTTGAACTGTGACGGAAGCGGAACAGAAGGACTCTGTAAGTTTCTTACTGATGCTCCCTGGCCACTTACGTTCATGACTCGCAATAGCACTGAGCTTCAGGGAGACCAGTGCACATGTATCCAAAACCAGCAGATCCCAGGATGTCTGCACCAGCTTCCTTCTGCCCAGAAATTCAGGCAATGAAATATCACCATTTAGAAATGCCTCTATGACAAGAACAACTTGGTGCCAGAGCTTCATGGTCTCATTCCTGACACAGTACAGGCAGCAAAAAAGAGCTCTTCAAACCTGATCTGCTGTGTTGTCCCCATTTCCCTGTCCCACTTCCCAAGCCTTTGAAAATATCTTCTGGAGATGTTACAGCATTGGAGCAGGCTGGATACTTTGGTGCAAGGCGGGAGAAGAAGACACAGTATACCCTCTCCTGTTTATAATGATACTTCACTGATATTTTAATCTCCATTCTTGGAGACTGGAGACGAAGTTGATTCATGCTGAACTGCAGCTTGTATGAGCGTCGCAAAATTTAAGATCTATAATTCTACCCTCCCCTGCCCAAAGGAAAAAGAAGCATCATCTTTTCCATGTCAGGGAAAGGCACATATCACAGCTACCCTAGGTTTGACAAGCTGGTTGTATCCTCTGCAGTGCATATCCTTCCCACAGAGATCCTCTAATCAGCTCCAGCAGGATTATCATGGAAGAGTCTCAGAGTAGATGCTGAGCACACGTTCCTTTCTACGAGTGGTGATGCTGCCCCAGTGAAAACAAAAAAAAAAACCAAACCCAAACCCACCAAAAAACAGTACATAAATAAACCTGCAACCTGGCAGGGATTTAACATATGTTTTTAGACCCTCATGGTGAAGCGAAACATGTGCATAGCTCTTATCACACTGATGGCTGCATGTCTCCAGTTGTGCTTCTGGAGATAGAAATCTTATATTTTAAAAGTGAGAATACTATTGATTATCAGCCTTAAAAGATAAAAGGCCAAATGAAAGATATCTATAATACTCAATGTTGAATGAGAGAAAGCATAAAGGAAGACACAGGCCTGAGAAATGGAACGGGTTGTTGTGAGAAGGGCAGCGTACAAGGAGATAGTTCATTCTTTCTGAATATCTGCTGGGCTTAGGCCGAGGACAGTGTTCCCATCATTCCCACCTGCATACTTATCCCCACAACTCTGTAACCAAATCCCTTTCACACTGAACTAATAGGTCTTTTATATTCAGATCACCCTGTTTTGACTGCTGTAGGCTGAAGATATTTAAATCTTGTCAATACAATGAGGAAGTGAAATGTAAACAACTGTTTGCCTACTGACCTGGGCTGTGCTGAGCAAAGAGCATTTGCTGAACTAGCCTGAACAGACCACTGCCAGCATGAACAGGCCAACCCAGTTAACTACCACACTTGAAGCATAATGGGCCAGAGCCCCAGGAATTTGAAGCTCCCCCCTCTCCAGAAGATCACGCTCTGCACAGCATTACAGCAACCTAAACTCTGGCTGCATCTCCCAGCATCACAACTCTGCAAAACCCTCAGCAATACCAGGTTTAACACAGCTGCATATGTGCATATGCTGCATAAAGGTATTTCTTGAACAGCAGCTCAAACACGAGGTTTTCCACACCCAGATTACATCAATTTGTTTCTTGCTACTGTGAAGCAAGAGCTCTTCTCCATAGTTATATTTCCCCTCTAGGGCAGAGTTTAGCAGAGAACTGCTTCAACCAAAGGTGTTTCCTACTGTTAGAGCATCTCACTGCAGTCAGAAACTAAGTTTCTGCTCAACTCCTAAACAGAGTGCTTGTATATTATACATTTATTGTCACTGCTGATACACAGGAGACTAGGACTACCCAAACATCTACTGAGAGGAGAAGGGGAGAGGCATGGTCATTGCAGATCTTGTCAGCCAGAGTCCGGCACTAAAAATTCCTGCATATCTGCAGAGTGCAGTTGATCTCAGGAACAGACCAGTGGCACAAAACAAAGCTTCAGAAGCTCGTGACCACTTAGTGACCAGCAGTAGATGCTGGGCTCCTCTTCCTACAACAACTAAGCAAACTCAGTTTTAGTTTTACCTGCACTGGAAGTAGTAAAGGCAGCTCCAATGACCAATGCTAATCTCACTTAATTAATTTATTTACTCCCTCTTGCACAAAAATAACAACAACATATTGAATGAAGTAGCTCAAAGGCCCCTTTGGTATGCAAAATTTCTGTTTCCCAGCCACCTCTGAGCCTGTACAAAATCCTCCCTTTACAATGCAAGAATTTAGGACGTGACTAAAGGATCATTGCTACCCCGCAGTTAATCCTAGAGAGTGTGAGTCTTGAGCCCTGTCCTTCAGTAAGGTACAGGTAGGCAGGGGGTGCATGGGGTGTCAACCTCATGCTGAGCACCGCTCTGAGGGCAGAGCACACCCAGCACTGTGGAGAAGGAGAAATGTCAGGACCCTCTTCCAACCAAGACTGTTCTACAGGACACTCCCAGCTGCAGCACTGCTTTAGGGCTCTGAGTCAGCACAGGTACAAGCTGATAGCAGGTTGTGAAATGCACTAATACTGGAGCAAATGCATGACCCTTTCAACTGTCCCTGCAACTGGGAAGGGATCTCCAGGACAGGGATGAGGCAGGCAGCTGGAACTAGTGACTGTGACTCAGACTCCTTAGTTACACGGTTTGTTAGAGCAAACAAAGCCTCAGAGTATTAGGAAAAATGAGAGCAGGTTTGATAAAGATCCTCCCAATTGGCCTGTTTGTTTTCATTTCTTGTGTGGACTCAGCAAACGTTTCTGCAGAAAGATGCAATCTGCACAGGAGCATTTGCATACACAATACTGCTAATATCATGAGCTTGCAGTAGTTAACACCAAGGTTCCATGCTGAGGGGTGTAGTAAATGTCTTGGACCAAAATGTCATCTCTCTCACCATATGCCAGATACCAGTGCAGATACCAGCAAAGCAAGCATTGCTGTCTCGTTTTTTTCCAATTAAAAAAAATCTCATTCCCTTTGCCCATATCTCTAGATCCAGCAACAGTTCTTAATATAAATGATTCCTTAAACACAGCACTTTTAGCACTTCCCCACATTTTTTTTCTTTGCTTTTCCCCAAAAACTGACCATATACTCAGCCCTGTACTTAGCAAAGAAATCTTTGGTTTTAAGTTTCATTTTGGTGAAATTTTTCAAGCAAACCACTGTAAGAGTTAGTCCTGGCAGTATTAAGACTGAACTGTCAACCAAACATCCCTCCAAGTCAGATGCTTAATTGATCACCCTGAACACTTTTTATTTGTCTCTTTGCAGCCACCAAGAAATCTCAGCACATCTGAGCCTGGCAAATGAGAAGAGGCCAGAAAGCCACTATTGCTTGTAAAAGGCCTAACAGACTCCAAGTCTTGCAAACTGCCTGTATTGCATCCAAATCTCTCCAAACTGAAGATGACCTAATGGGAAAGCACAGTTTACTCACTTTCAGAATTCTTAATTTTTTTGGCTGCTTTTCCTCAGCCCCTACTTCTTATTTTGACTGTTTTATTCCTCTGTCTTCTTCACTTGAGACTTCAAGCCTTATTTAAACTCAGCTCACAGACTGCAGGGAGGTCACTCTATGTGTGTTTCCAAAATCCACCTCTTCCCAGCAAGGCTCCCATCCTGCTGGCTTTGTCCTGCAGCCCTGCACAGCAGTGGTCCAGGGCTGCAGATACCTCGGGCACATTTGGCCAGCCCTCCCTGACAGACAGCTGCTCAGCCTGGGGGATTACAGCCCCACGCATGTTATGAAAGGCAGCCCAGCAAGGTCATGGGGTATTGAAAACTTTGCTCCAGTCCAAAGCACAGGATCTTCCTCCTTTCCTTCCCTACACACTGTTCTTTTCAAGGTCAAGGATTTCCTGGCAGTCCTCAAAGTACACAAATTATAGGCTTTTGTCATGAATTAAGACTTAAAACTTCTCTTAATTTTAAAAATGTAGAAAGGGTGGAACAAGGCAGGGAGGAAGGTACCTCTGCCTAAGATTTGGTTTTGAAAAGTAGATTGACAGCCTATGTATGTGCTTTACCCTGTAATCTGAAAGCTCCTCAGGACAAGACCCTTAAAAGTATTTTATGCTGAACCATATACACATCCCAGAGCAAGAGAACCAGCAGCTCCCTGCATCCGTTCCAGTCTGCTCAGCTTCTCCTAAATCAACACTGCCAGAAGGCAAGACAGCACTATAACAAATTAGCACCACTCACAATTTGTTGAAGTTGCTGTTGCATTGTTTGTTTATTTAAAACACGCGCAAGCAAACACACACACACAAACCTCCCGAGCCTGCTCTCTACTGCCATCCCCCAAACTCCAGATCTGGAGTCTCAGAGAGGCGAGCAAAGGCTGTGGATTAAACCCATGCAGAGCAACAGCCACTGTGCTGGGACTCTGCTTGGGTTTTGCTCTTTCACTACAAGCAAAACCAAAGAATGCCCACATTATTACAGCCTGGAACATCATATTGTAGAAATCCTTATATTGGCACTTGACTAGGGAAGTGTTGTTAAGAAAAAGAAAGAGCCACAGGCTTGAAAGGACCCACTGCTAATAAAACTCTTAGTGCTAATGCTATTTATGAACATCCAAGGGATAATCTGCACCCTTTATCAGCCCACAAGATTATAAGATCTTTAAAATAGGAAACATGTCTTACTTCATAAAGCGCTGTATAAGTTTACAAAGCACAATATTAGTGGTAATAAATAATTGTCAAAGTTGAGCACAGAAGTGGCTGTAAAACCTGAAGCATCATCACTGTTCCCATTTCATTCTGAGCTCTGGGTAGTAGCCCTGTACAGTTACTGGTTATGAGGACTTGGTCTCTTATGCACCAATCTTGTTTTATTTTAAGAGATCATTTGGGAAATGTGCTATGCTTATATTCACAGTGAAGAAAGTAATGTCTGATCACGAGATGATCACGACAAGGGTGATTTTAAAGAGCTGTAGTAGATTCTTATCCTTCCACCAAACAGTTTAGTTTGCCAGCCTGTGTCAGTGTGCCAGCAATGATTCCTCTACACAGCATTTCTATCTGTGGGCAATTATCACACACAGAGTGCCCTACTATCAGAGCAGCTGCTCACCAGTTGCATCATGTAGCCTATAGAGACAGCTTCCCTTTTATTTCTCTTGGTTTATGTGACAATAAAACTGGGCTGCTGCACACATAGTGTAGAGGACAGTAAAGTCAGCATCATCCACTCAAACCCTTACATGCTTTCATTCGAGTTTGGTTTTTTTTTTCATTTTAGAGAAGTTTTTTCTCTCTTATGAATGCTCTAAATGTTTTTATTTCTGGCTGCTGACAGATAATTGCATCATCCAAAGCATCTCTGCTCACCTGGGTTGAGCATGGCTTTGGTTTCTGGACAGGTGAACGCCACAGATACCTCAGCTATCTCCACCAGTTTAACAACAATTAAGGAAATGAAGATATTTTCTATTCAGATTAAGACCTTTGCATGGAATTCTGTTGGTGCTAAGCCATTATAATTTTATTCTTCAGATAATCCATGAAATGTTTAAATACTCAAGCTTAAGTATTTCAAAAGCTACTCACTTCACATTTGTCACCTAAGGAAATTACTAAGCAATGTGTGCATTTTTTTCCCTGCCAGGAAAAAAATGCCTTAAAGAGCAGAGCAGAATGCATCACCCTCCTTCTTTCAGCATTAGTAAAACCATCTCATTGGTAATTATTGTCCTCAAGGTGGGTGTGGAGGAGTGAAAATCTGTAACAGATTCTATTTTTAGAAGATAACCTTGGGAAAAACAGGAGGTACCAGAGAAACAGGCATGAGGGGTGAAGTTATGACAGTACTGAAACTAGCAGGAGACACAGGTGTACCAGGTGTCTGTGCCAGAGAGCTTTGAGAATGCAAATGTGGCCACACCTCCTGCAAGATTTAGGCTTGGCTGGCAGGTTTCAGAAGCACTCAGAATTCACAGAGACAATTGACATATTTAAAAGTTTGAGCAACAGTTAAAAAAAAAACCAAAAAAAACCACCAAAACCAAACCCACACTAAAAGGTTATTTTAAAAGTTTGCTGGATCACTTCCCTTGGAGTTTTCCGCTCTCAGCAAGGAAAGTGGTTAAAGGAATAAAAAACCTACCAAAAAGCCAGAACCAAAACCTAAAAGCAGACAGAGAGGCTGGAACTTCCCTACCACAGATGAAACAACACAGCAGTTTTATACCTACATAAATAGGATCAGAATCTGGCCCAGGGAGTAATACACGTACAAACTTCTGCTCACAGCCACAACATTGATACCACACCTTAGAGTGGAAGGAACAAGAAAAATTCTTCCATCCTTACCACATCCAGCAGAGCCCAGTGATAGAACAGCATGAAGAGACACGCAGGGGATGCAGAAAGTGCTCTTAGTGAGGATGCATTTGGACTAAAGCCTCTTGGCAATGTGCATTCCCAAACACCTGTATCTAGGATCCAGTTGCTTTCAGCCCCTGGCTGCACATTATTCAGCTCCATGCAGTTCTGTCACAGAGAAGGGCTGAATAAATTATGGCATTGTTACACCCCAGTGCAGGTGCTCGGAAACACACACATCCTGAGGCTCATGCCTCACCAGCCATTGGGGTGTTCTGATGCCATCCAGCTTTCTCTGACCCACCAAGTCAGTCCACCTTGGGTCAATCTATTCCCTTCTTCAGGCACTTTCTTGGCAGGCACTTCACTCAAAGAATACATTTTAACAGCAGGAAAATCACCTCAAAATCCCAAACCAAACAAGTCAATGTCTCTGAAGAACCAGAATAAGTCGCATAGGTGGCATCCTTCTTATCACAAGGTGTCCTCCATCACAGATGCTAATATGGTCTTCACACACATGACTTCTCTACAACCTCGTGTAAGAAGCCTGACAGTAATGCCAAATCCCCAGACCCTTCCAGGAGCAGTCATTGAACACCCAGACCTACTCCAGACAGTCAGTCTTATAACAGGGTATGTAATGCTAAAGCCCGTTTAATCTTGTGCAGGCAAGAAATAGCAGGGACTTGCCTGTTGAAAAATTAGGAGGTACACAGTAATTCATCAAATTGATTTAATAGAGCCAGCTGCATGTGTGAATGCTGGCCCTGGCAGAGACAGTTCCAACCCTATGCATTTACTTACAAATAGGCAAGGTGCTTTGGCACAGCTACTGAATCCTTTAAAAAAGTTGGTTTTGACGTGTTGGAAAAAGGACTTGGATTTTTCAGCTGCTCTCTAAGCAGGAGGCAATTAAGAGAACACACCCAAGAACTGTAGCAGACACCATTTTAAAATTTGTCTTCATTATGTTCTAATTTTTACACAACTTTCTAACATTAGCAATAGTCAGATGAAATTTTTCATGTTTCTGAAAACAGAGGAGAGGTCAGGAAAACACTGTTACACATAATTTGTTCTTTCTCTAGTGATAATTAGAGTCCAGAGTCCTGGCCCAAGGTTTCTACTTATATTTTCCATGTGATTCTTAAGCCAACAAACCAAATAGAGTTAGTTTTCAGGTTTAGTGGGTTTGAAAACAAAATGTATATTAGAAGGGGGATTTTTTATTATCATATTATTTAAAGGATTTAGTGAGGAATCTAAAAATCTGTGAAAGGGTTTGTTGGAGGGGGATTAGAAAGAGAAGAGCTTTATAAAAACAGCCCCAGACACTCCAATCACAGGGTTTGTTCCTCTTCTCCACATAAAATCATAGAATCACTTAGACTGGAGAAGATCCCTAATATCAAGTCCAACCATTAACATAACACTGCCGATTCCACCTCTGACCTATGTCCCCAAGTGTTACATCTACACATCCTTTGGATAATCTCCAAGGGTGGCAATTCTATCATCTCCTCAAGCAGCGTGTTCCAATCCTTGATGACCCTTTCCTTGAAATTTTCCCTAATATCCAACCTAAATCTCCCCGGTGTAACTTGAGGCTATTTGCTCTTGCCCTATTACTCATTACTTGGGAGAAGAGACCAAGCCCCATCTGGCTACAACATTCATTCAACCTTGTTGAACTCACCCAAGTGGCCTCAACCCATGGATCCAGCCTGTCCAGATCCCTCTGCAGAGCCTTCCTGCTCTCCAGCAGATCAACACTCCCACCCAGCCTAGTGTCACCTCTGAGCTCACTGAAGGTGCCCTCAACTCCCTTGCCCAGATTTGTGATAAGGACATGCACACTAAAGCCTGCCTTCCATTAGGGAAACAAATCCAAAAGACCTGGAAAACACTGCACTGAGACACATGATGGGGAGGTTCTTGGAAGCAAAGCAGCAGCTGAAGTTATATGGAAATAACAACAACATTCACAGAAGTTCCCCTTGGATACATGTCAGCATGTGGGAATGAAGGATTAAGATTGAGTATTTGCATTTCCCAGTCAGATGCCAAGATAGCAAAGCTGGCAGGCTGAGGTGTTGTGGTGTTCCTTGAAGGGAGTCTCCAACCATGAACACTGTGTGTACAGAGCTCTTCTACTTGCAAGTATCTCTCTCTCTAACAGTATTATTTTGAATTTTTTAAAATGTGCTCTAGGTTAGTGCTTATAAAAGTAAAGCAATAACAGCTCCAGCATAGCACAAGCAGCTGGGCAAGCTCTGCTGACAGATCCTTGCCAACACAACCCCAAATTAATCCTGTGCTGTGCTCCCAACCCACACACAGAAAGCAGGTAGTGCCATGGTGCCAACTGCTTCAGTCAGCACATAGAAGCAAAGTGCCATGTTATTAACTCTTCTAAAGGCCACAGCAGAGCATTTTGATCCCTGCATACAACAGACACCTGAGTAATTAAAGCACAGGGCTAAATCCCCTGGCAGACATGGCTTTTAAAATAAGATGTAGCATTTCTGCATCATGGCCCTCTACAACAGATTTCAGTGCTTTTATGCTGCTGTTTTAAAGGCCAGCATTTACATTGCCAATGATACATTATTTACCAGGTGGAAAAAAAAAATCCCAAACCAAACCACACAGAAATAGAGCCATCATCACAGAGGATGAGGCATCATGATCTGGTTTAGGGCATCCAAGTTAGAGCCACCATGTAAAAGGTCAGGTTTTGCCCTCTTTCTGCATCAGCCCCAGTTGGGCTCAGCCTTACTGCCCCATGGTGTTCAGGGAAGCACAACAGAGCAGGCAGTAAAGCACAGCCAAGGAGCAGGAACACTCTTGAACAAAGCTGGCTGTAAAGCCAATCCAACGTGTCAGAGGTCACAGTAGTAACTGAGGATTGTGCTTCAACTCCCAAAACATCCTCTGGTATCCAGGAAGGCTGCTGGCAATAGGTGAAAGATGGTTGTGAGACAGAGGAACAATGAAGAAAAAGTTCTTAGAATTGTTGTGGACTCTGTGAGGTGTATGCACAGTGAGAAGACAGAGCAGAGCAGCACTGGGACCGGGAAGAGCTTCCAGGGAATATTCCTGTGGGCCTTTGGGCCTGAAATTCTCCTCTGCAACACCTCAGTTTCCATAGTCAGAAGTGAGATCAATGCCTAACTACAGAAGATGCTTCCACTTTGTAATGACCTTAATTTCTAGGTGATTAATGGTTGTTGGTTTACTCCCTTGGAACTTTGTAACAGCCTAGCAAGAGTGAAAGTCTGGAGATTCTCCCCATAGCCCCTCAAATGCATCAGAAACTGGAATGTGCTGCAGGGCTGCAGTACATTGTCTCAGCAGATTCAGTGGGTAACAAGGTCTTCTGAAAGAAAGTATAATAAGTGTTTCTGCCTGGACTTGCCAAAAGACCTTAATGCAAATAGAACTGCAGGAAAATTAGGGTGGACTCTAGTGGCTGCCTCCCCCTCAGGGTTTTGGTTTTTCTGTTGTTTTTTTGTTGTTTTTTTTTTCCTTCAATCCTGATGAAATTCATTACAGTTGCATTTAAACTGAGGTTGTGATTTAAATTTTCCAAAGCAGGCAGGACAGGTTTGAAAGCTTGATATATCAGAGTGTGTGTGCTGCCTGAGAACCAAGGTAGTTGCAGAGCCTTCCCCAAGGGGTGCCTGGTTGATCCCCTCACCCCCTTGACATGTTTGCTGTCACACAGGCCAGTGGATTCCTGGCAAGTCAAGCAGGCTTGCTCCTTACAGCCAAGCAGCCCCACATTCAAACATGCCACTACGTTCCTTGAAGGTATTTACAGTTTACTTTTTAGTGCTACTTTAAGTTCAAAGGGGCTAGTAAAGCCCCATTAAGCCATTTACATCAAACTGGTTAGTTAATTATCCTGTTGCAGGCTTTAAATTAGCAATTTATAACCCCTTCCCTGGAGATGCCAGTATTTGGAAACAACTCAGCCAGGACATTTTGCAGGGTACAGTTAAGGAACAAAAAAATCCACTAAACCAAATCACCCCCATCCCCAAGAAAAAACAATCCCAAAACAACCCAGAATAAGTATCTTCAGGTTTTGATTGCACATCTATTAACTTTGGGAGAATCCAGTAGGAACAGAGGTGAGGGAGAGCTCACTGTTACCAGCTAGCAGGGATAGTGAGGCTGTGTCTACCTCAGGCTGTGCAGCAAAATGTGATTTGCAAAGGCCCAAAGCCAGCCTGGGAGGCACCACAGCTAGAAGGGATGATTCTTTCCTTACAACAAGATATTCTGCTTCTCAGTAGCATAATCAAAGGTATTTTTACATTCATATGTACAAAAATGTGTCTGCCCACAAGGGAGGAAAACTATTTGAGGGTTTGGATCTGGTCAAACTGAACACCAGCATATAGCTGGAATCATCTTTCAGGTTAGGATTAAAAATATACATATTTATACCCCCTTGTCATAAGGGTCAATGACCCCATAGGCCAAGTGAGGCTGGAGTTGAGGGATCTCCATTCCCAGGATCTTCTCCCCTGCCAACAATCTTTAATTTCTGAGAAGGATAGTCTGGGGACAGGGACTGGGACTGGTTATTCCAGATCACCACTCTCTGAGTGCAAAGTTGTTACAGAAGAGAATTACCACCTTCCCCCTGAAATACCTGACTGCCAAAACTAACCTAGAGCACAACCCTCCTTCTCATTTCCACCAGCCTTTACTTTAGTTCTGCAAACAATTGACATACTGGATGTTTTCCTGAAAATCTTATTTAAAATAAAGATGGGAGGGAAAGACTGCCCAGTTGCTACTATTTCCACACTAAAAGTCTATCAAATATAAGAGAAGCCTTGGCCCCACAGTCCTGGAAGCTATCCCAAACCAACAAGCACTTAACACCTCACCAAGAGCAGGAATCCATGGAAAGAAGGCCCATGTGGAATGAGACTAAGGCAAACTAGGAGATTTCACATTAACATCAAAAAAGGGCACATCAAATTTGAGAGAAAAATTCCATTCTACTTGAAAGATATGACAGACAGATTGAATCAAATCATATGACAGACCCTGCAATTTCTTTTTCCTTCATCTTAATACATTCGCTTTTCAACAGCAAAAAAAAAAAATTATCTTCTGCCAAAAAGGTGTCAGATAAAGAGAGATAAAAATCTAAGCAATTTAATTCTTTATGCTATGCAACCATGAGATTTAGTTTGTATTTACTTGCTTCTTCTTATGGAGAGTAACTATTTCACAGTAATTTTTGAGATGGGGGCAGATGGGAAGTAGAGAGGGAAATACACTGGAAAATTTCAAACCAAAGTGACAAAATATTTTTGTAAAAAATTTGTAAGATGGTATTACTTTTATGTGATTTACTGCTCTCCATTTCAAGACAGAGGCCTTATAATAAAAATACTGGTAAACACAACACAAAATCTAAATTATCTAAAGGACCAAAAAACCCAACCCCACACATAGAAGACACTCTCCAAATTCTCTGCCCTTTCTTGGGAGCACTTACACCCAAAGCATCACTCACAGCAGAGGCTGTTCTCTCCTGCAAACACCAGCCTGGCCTTTGAAACAGCCCGGTGCTAACAGGCTCCAGGACTGCCTAATATTGGGAAATTATCAAATAAAGTGCAGCTGGGGAGAAAGAAGGAAGCAAAGCCCTCCGGAGGATAAAATGAGAGTCTTTCCTGCTCCACCAAAACCTTCCATTTCCAAGACATGCAATACCCAGCCTGTGCCTAGAACAGGTGTGTCTCCTTAAATACCTCCCATGTCACACTTGTGTCTCATGGATCCAGGCTGCGGGATTATATCGGTACCAGTGCATTCCAGCTGGAGCTGCCCCGTGGTGTCCTGTGACTCCTCGCACGGGGGGAGCCGCTCGAGCCGCAGGCACGGCCCCTTTGCCACATGATCCCGGAGACAGACAGACAGACAGACAGACAGACAGACAGCGAGCCTGCCGCTGCGGCTTCCGAGCACTTGTGCTCCAGGGGCCAGCCAGCGCAGGGACAAGCAGGAGTCCTCCAGAGCAGGAAGGGGACACTGCCGGGAGACACTGAGCGCAGGCTCCAAGTATCCTTTTCTTTCCCTCCTCTCTGCTTATTACCAGCAAATTCGCAACCAATTTATGCCAAATAGACACGATGAAGATCTCCTTTAAATAAAAAAAGATGCACGGCTAACAGAGCAAAGTCCACTCAGCCATTCCCAAGCAGAAAATGCTGACAGGGCACAATGCAGGTATGGCTAAAGCAGGATGAAGGAAGAACAAAGGAGAGCGAGCCTCATACATCTTCAAGTCAGTGCAGAAAGACACCCCTTGGCAATGTCAGCCTAATTCATCACTAACCTTGGAGCATACTAGCTTGCTGGCCTAAGCAGCTGGAAGAGATAGTAAGAAAATTTTTATGGCAGCAAACACATTAGTGACATTTTTTGTGTCATGAGTGGCACAGATAATACAAAGGGAAGAGCTACTTGGTTTTAGCCATAGCTCTGCATCACAATTCAAAGGAATTCTTCAGCATGAAGAACTGCCCCGATGCCATCCATCATGAAAAGGATCTTGTAGTACTGATCAGGGCCAGCCAGAGCACCGACAGATGTGGGAAGCTGCTGAGCAGCACACATGGGCTAGGAGGTGGAGCCCTGTAGGGCTCTGCAGGATCTCCTTCTTAGTCCTCAGCAGCACAAGTGCCTTCATTTTCCAGAGAACAACTCTTGCAACAGCTTTTAGGAGGGAAAGTATGTGAGTAAAAATGAATGGACCAATCTTGATGAAAAGCCCAACTTACAAGGAATCCACCACATCCATAAATTATTATGCTGTTTAATTAATTCCAATTTCCAGGTTTCAGTGCACATCAGGTTTATCTGCTCATCCCCCTACAGCAACTGGCTCCAGGCATCACAATCAGCTGTTGGGGATGAAGGCATTGCCAAGCTAAACGTTCTTCTCAAGTGCTTTTTCAGTCCACCTCTACTTTATAACTCCTCAAGGACTGGGTGAAACAGCACATTCAGTGAACCCTGTTCATCAGCCCAGTGCAAGTTGGAAGTAAAGGGAAATTCTCACATACTTTACATCCCATTCCATCTCTTCATCTCACTGACCATTTCTGTTCAAATAAATCTAGAATAAGGACATTCCATGATTCCAGTTTGAATGATACTTCATTCTTAAACACATGAGCAGGACCTCAAAGCCCCCCAAATCCATCTACCCCTACAAACACCCTCTTATTACTGGCATTTCTCAGTTTCAAGAGGCCTCAAGTCTGTAGCCATAAAAATCAGCACTAATTGCCAGGTGAATTCTTACTACTTAGCCAGCTATTTATTATGCTGGGTCCTTTACTGCCAGGCAAACATCAGTTGCAAATGCCACTCCATGTTCTCAGACACCAGGACTTCAAATAATTCAAATATTCAAATATTATTTATTCAAATTTGAAATAATTTAAATAATGCTGAACAGCCTCCCATAACCAAAATTTAACATCTTTACATTTTCTTTATTCTTTGCCAGCCACAGTGTTAGGGACTTCCTGGCCAGTTAGCAGCCAGCCTGGTAAGACCTCTGAACTTCACACATTTATCAGGAAAGCTTAGAATACAAACTGTCTTGTACTTCTCTAGCAACTTGAAATCAAGTTGACAGAGCAGATCTGGGATCCCAAACAGACAAATGGAGGCCCAGCTGTATTTTATAATTGTGCCACATAGAAAATGTGCACTTCCAGGAACCTTGAGACTTGGTGACACACCTAATGCAGAAATTATTATTTAAGAAGCCATTTTTTAAAATCCCCACATTTAGTACAGAAGTGAAGCCAGTCACTTCATTTTTCCACAAACAAAAATTTTTCAGGCTTTGGGAAAACCAGGTCTTCTTATGAACAGCCGTCTGCATACCCAGGGCTGTGTGCTCCCATAGGAAAAATCTGAATTTCTAGATGAGAGCAAAACAAAACTATTCCTTAAAGTGGGAGTAGCTGAGAACAGAGCTGTCCACGCGCCTCTGTATAGGCCCCCATCCAAATGCTCAACTCCCACTCCTGTCAGTACTTGCAAGCCTTTAATCCAACTGAGGTTCCTCACCAACCTCCAGCTATTTCATGACATGCCTGTCTTGGGGCATAAAATCCTAGAGAGTGTCCCCATAAATCAAGCACATTTGTTATATAATTGAAAAGGTTTTAAAGGAGAAAATGGAAAAAAATCCTACTGTCATTAACAAGAAAATTAATGATCTAGAGCACAGCAGTGATTAGCCAAATAGTTATTCTTTTTTTATTGAGCAACCAGACTCATAATTAAGGTGGTTTTTTTCTTAAAATAATATATAAATAAACTATTGGAAAGTTTTACACCACTTTTAGGGGTGGAATTTTAGAGTTCAAATAAATTACAAGCTATTTCACTGTTGGACTGTCTGTCTCTAAGGCCATAATTAATTTTAATGTTCAAATTTGCAGCGCCAAACACGTGACCAGGAGTAAAATAGGAAAAACCTCTTTAGGGCTCTCTTGCAGTTTGTAGCAACAATACAGAACACAGGAAAACAGGAGGCCAGGTGTACTTATATTCAGAGATATCTTCAGCCTCACATACTTTGAGAAGTATTTAAAACATAAATTCAAAATTCACTTGCCCCCATTTTGGAGATGAGAAAGATGAAGGGGAGGGGAAAAAAAGAGATCAACTCTTCCCTTAGAGACTTCATATATGAGCACACAGAGGGAGTTTCCTTTAGCTGTGTATCAAACCATTGCAAATACAGGAAAAGCCAGGGCAATGTCATGCCAGCAGCTAAATGTGCTTTTACTTACTTATTTATTTATTCAGTGGTAGAAGAGACTGGATTTAAACAGAAGTAATTGAAAGCCACCAATTTTAATCTTGTTTTACATTTATACTCTAGGTCATGAAGGATGATTGGTGGCTGGTGACTACTAAGCCATATTGATTTGCAACCAAATATAATCTGCTCTCAATTCAGTCTTACTTTCTGCTAACCAGAGCTGCACTATCTCCAGTTGAAACATTTATTCCAATTCATAGGTATTTATCCAGCTGACACTTTTCTTCTTTTTATTATTTTGATAAACAGCCATTGACTTTTTATTAGACATTTTCTCATTTGAATCATAATACCTGAAAATTCAAAAATTCCACTGAGAATTTTTTACTTCATTTTTGGTTTTACCATATTAAGTATTTAAGTCCAAACTCTTCCAGAAAAAAAAATAAGCTGTAGCTGATGATTTAAAACTGAATTCACATTGCCTTGTCCTTCAAGATCTAGAGCTATGAGATGTTGGCCTCCCATTAGACCAAGTTCTTATTCACCAGCTTAGAAAAGGAGAACAAGCATCCTGAATTTTTTAAACTTTTCCTGTTTTCTCAACTGAAATTTTTTTACTGATTAAATAAAAATCTGCAAAAACAGCCTGAAGGTCTCCTTGCAAAGGCAGCTTCATCAATCAGAATAAACTCTTGTACTCATGCACAGGGACAGACTTTCTGCAATTGAGGATTCTGTCCTTCCTTAAAGCTTTGGCAGAACACAAGCAGTGCCTAGGACAGATCTAAGCTCATTAAGATCTATAAAAATTGCTTAGGGTAGCCATTGTAATTTCAAGTTTCTCTTCCTAGTTACTAAAAAGATTGTTCAATTCAGTAGCTTTTAGTTGTTACATCTACTGACTTCAGTGGAATATCCCACAAACTGCCATCAAAGACTACTAAAACTAACGAAAGCAAGATGTGATGCATCCATTTCCTACCATCCACATTCTGCTTCACTTTTCTTGGTGTATGTATTGAGAGGCTGTGATTGCATCTGTCCACATTTTGCTTAGCACTTTATATTAGAGAAAAATCTTATTTTCAAGAAAAATCTTAATACACATGCCAAAATAACAAGATAAAGCTTAATTTTTTATCAGGAAGATAGCAGAGAAACAGAACACAGACCTTCACCTGATCAAACACCATGGAAAGTATGCATATACCATGCATGGTATATGCAAAGTGCAGAAGAAACAGGTTTTCATGGAACCTTCCTGTGCTACTTTCAAATTCATGTTTGCCTTCATAATCCATGATATTTCTCAAAGCACTTCTGCACTAAGTTCTTTATTTGTTTATTCCTTCCCAAGATGGCACTTCCATTTGTAAAATTCACACTTTAATTGTTTGCACAGACCTGTCAAACATAGGAAACCTGAAATGAAGTCTTTGCCAGCTGTATGGTGGAGGGTGCTGTTCAAGCTCACCCACGTTAATCATCCAGTAGTGTGGCTGAGTTGATAAAGCAGGAAAAGCAGTGCTGTATTGGACATGGTGCCGTGGTCCTACATCATGCTGGACAACTGTCACGTTGAGACAATCTCCCTGGATAATTTACCAGTATTGCTGGTTTCAAGCTGTGGCTAGATATGAGATGCACAGAATGCATCATTTTGTTCTTACAGGTTTTTGACAAAAGAAAGTCTGGATGCACTGAAGGAATAAAACCAATAAACCTTCTTTGCTCCTTTCTGTAAACAGTCATTTTGCTGGTATGAAAGGAAAAGCAACCAGGGGAATAAAACTGTACATCCCTTCTTTATAAGAAGGATGACTTGTAACTTGGAAATAGTCTAGTAAGAACACTATTTCTCTTCCCTAATGAAGTTCCTTGTCCAGTATTAAAGGAAAGTAATCTTTCAGTAGCATTTCAGCCACCTCAAAGGGCAATTTAAAAAATAACTTAGGGTTGTGATGTTTAAACAAGCTTTTCCACCAATTACTTAATAGCATCCAGAGGCTTCAAGTAAGAAACAGGACCCTTCATACAAAGCAATTTATAGTAGCAATACACACAGTGAG